AGAGGGAAAGATTAGGGCCTGAGGTTCCTGGGTAGGGAAAAACACCTATTTTGGAACAATGCTGGGAGTGTCTGACCACAGCAAACCCCCTCAGGTGTAAGGTTCCTCTTAATGTAACAGACCCCACCTACTCCCCCTTGGGTTTCCCCTCAGGAATTTGACAAAAGACCTAAGTATGGCCATAGACCACCCCTCATACAATGGAAAGGAGCCAGTCGGGAATGGGCAACCCAGCACCTAGAGGTATCAAGCCAATAAGGGTAGAAGGAACAAGGGAGAAGGGATGGGGAGGGCTGACCAGAACCTTATAAAACAAGGACCTTGCCTGTAGTCTGTGGGCATTTACTTTTGAATGTCCCCTTTCTGTAAAGAGAGCTTTCCTACTATTCTTCCTTTCTAATCTTATATTCTAATAAACCTTTGCCTACTGCTCATTTTGTGTCCGCCTCTTCATTCTTTGAAGCTGTGAGACAATGAATCCTGGGTATTGTGGCAAAAGATCCTGCAACACAGTGAGATCATGACCTGAGTGGAAATCAAGAGTTGGACTCCCAACTGACTGAGGAGCCCCAACAAAGTATATTTTTAAGGCTTATTTTTAATTTTATTGGAAAATAAAGTGTTTATTCAAAGAACATTAAAAGATTAAGGACCTTTTAATTGTGTGGGTGTTGGCAGGAGGAGGAATGAATCTCAAGCTTAGCCAGACTGGGCATGAGACTCTTCACAGAGCTGGGGGTTTCAGGGGAGGCCAGGTTGGGGGACAACTGGGTCTGGCAGGAGTCAAGAAATGGTCAGAGAGCACCAGGCCACAGTGCAGAGCTTGGGCCAGGGGTGCTGGTTGGCTTAGCAGCCTTAGCAGCTTAGCAGCTCACCACTTACATCCCATTGACAAAAAATAGAGCATGTAAAGTTAATAAAATGAGCTTTTGGACTACAATTGCCTGTCATAATGTCTGTGTGGCCCACATGGGCACTCAAATAAATAACTACATTGAATAAGAGAAGTTTTGAACCTAAACATCAGGGTTTAATTTTTTTTCTTTTTTCTACCAGAAAGAAGGCCCATTTACAGCATTGATAACTTTTAGTGACTTGTCAAGAGGAAAACTACTCCCATTCGTATGGTCCACTTCATTTTTTGTACAGATGTACTTCCCCGTTGTTGACAAGATTGAGACCAGCTCTTATTTTCTCTCCCATGATGGCCTGAAACCTCCAAATAAGAAATGAGAAATAGCTCCATTTGAATGTGGGTTTATGATGGGTCAGGCCTGACATAAGCACTTTATATACTGGATCCCATATAACTTAGTAGGAGACATTTTATTCTTTTTCTTTTATGATTTGTTTGTTTGTTTTGTTTTGCTTTGAGAGAGATGGAGCAAGTGAGCAAGAGGCAGAGAGAGAAGGAGAGAGAATTGTATTGCAGAGAGGGAAGCAGGGCTCACCCAAAGCAGTACTCAGACTCAAACTATGAGATCATGACCTGAGCCAAACTCAGATGCTTAACCGACTGAGCCACCCAGGCACCCAGAAGACTGTCTATTCTTTTTATCTATATCTATCTATCTATCTATCTATCTATCTATCTATCTATCTATCTATTTATATTACTTTTTTAATGTTTATTTTTGAGACAGAGAGAGACAGAGTGCTAGCAAGGGAGGGGCAGAGAGAGAGAGAGGGAGAATCCGAAGAAGGCTCCAGGCTCTGAGCTGTCAGCACAGAGTCTAATGCAGGGCTCAAACTCACAAACAGTGAGATCATGACCTGAGCTGAAGTCGGATGCTTAACCGACTGAGCCACCCAGGCACCCCTATTCTTTTTTTTATTAAAATTTTTTTAATGCTTATTTAATTTTAAGAGAGAGAGAGAGAGAGAGAGAGAGAGAGAGAATGTGAGTGGGGAAGGGGCAGAGAGAGAGGAAGACACAGAATCTGAAGCAGGCACCAGGCTCTGAGCTGTCAGCATACAGCCCAATGCGGGGCTTGAAGCCACAAGCCATGAGATCATGACCTGAGCCAAAGTTGGATGCTTAACTGACTGAGCCACCCAGGTGCCTCCAGAAGACTGTCTATTCTTAAACACTTAAA